GTTAGAAGCTGACAACTCTCCGTGAGGCATGCCCCCACCGTGAACACTTTGCCCCCTTGGGTTTATCGTACCGCACCACCATCCATCCATCCATCCATCCATCCATCGGAGGTAGAGTATTAAATTCGTGGCCCCAAAATAGCCGCAAATTTATGATCCAAACAGAGAGAAAATCATAAAACAAAAAAGAACAGAAAGAGAGGCTGTACATGTTGCAGACAGGGGCGGTGGGTATGGGGAAAGGGGTAAGGTGGATGGGGGCATGTGTGGCATTGTGGTCAGTCAATGTGCGTCTCGGGGAAAAAAAGCGAGACCCAAAGAGTCATAAAAATAAAAAATAGCCCAAGTAAATGTCAAATAAACTTTAACGGTTTTCGCTTTTTTTTTTTGTTTGTTGGTTACTCTTTTTTCTTTTGGTTTTGTTTTGGCCTGGTCAAAACACACAGGGGCTCAGAGAGAGAGAGAGAGAGAGGGGGGGGGCTACAGATTGGACCACAGCCACAGGCCCCACACAGCAACCCTCCCTGGAGGCCCCACAAGCCAGCAGCCAGCTGCCATAAACTTTTCAAGCAAAGGAAAAAGGAAACCAAAAAATAGATATATGTACGGATCTGGTATATATCTTACATGTATATAATCATACACACAACGGAAAACTCGAGCAGAAAACAGAGGAAAACAGCAGGGAAAAACTGCCATCGCTGCAGAAAAAAAAGCACAGAAACTGCAAATAAAAATAAAAATAAAAATAACAAAAACTCCTAGAGGAGAAGAAGAAATGGGCAACCGCAAGGCAACGGCAACAGCAACAGCAACAGCAGGAGCAGGAGCAGTAGGAAGGGGATGAGGTTTCATGTGGCATGTGGCATGAGGCATGACTGTGCGGCCAAGGGCGTAGCAGCAAAACCACACCGATTTACGGTGTAGGGCATTGAAGAGGAGAGTACTATATTACGTGACCAGCCGACAAAATGACAACCGTAAATCTGTGGTATATTTCATGTGGTGGCCACAAACAGAGAGCCACTGCGATGGAGTGAGGAGGGGAAGAGAGAAGGAGAAAAAAAGGTAAAAGTGTAGGAAGAGGCATAAAGAGAGCGGATTATATGATATTGGAACAGGCATTCGAAGTGAAAACTCCCCATCGGAAAGTGAACTGAAAATCGATTAAAAATCGATTAATAAGAGTGTTTCCGATACACAACAAAATCAAAGCCAGAAAGCCAGAAAGTCGACTTTAAAGCTGAAATGCAACATCTGTTCCAGACAAGAAAGGAAAGTTTCGAGATGGAGCTCATATGACCATGGACCCTTTATTGTGGTTAAGACCAAACAAAAAATGTAGGCGTAAGGAAATACAGGACTTCGCCTAATTAAAAACAGCAATAAAGAACAGCAGAAAGAATCGGATGGAGGAAGAGAATGAGGAGAAAGCGGACATATGGAGCAGGAGAAAGAGCAGCCTTTGAGGTTCATAAACATGTTGGGCATCATAAAAGTAACAACAGAAAATGATTTTTGCCTCAAAAACAGCCGAAAATATAAAAACAAATGAAGGCAACTTTAAGAGTTGAGGTCGTTTAAGGGTCATTATGTGCCCCCCAATTGTAAGGCAGGAGCACAGACCACTCGTAGGAGTATGAGAAGGAGGAGGAGCAGGAAGGACTGGCTGTAAGCTATTTCAAGTGTTGATGATAACTCACGAGACTTTAGGACCCTCAAATGTAGGAAGTAAAGCAGAAGAGGGAAGGAATGAAGTCTCTTACTGAGTCTCTTACTCCCATGAATCAACCTTAAAATATCTGATTTGTATTTGGCTCTACTGGTAGTCAAAACTCTATCAATTCCCATTACGCCGGATTGAAAAGAACGAAAAGGTAGCGTGGGAAGACACAAATATGTCAAACTATGTAGGTATACGTGTTGCCCATTGTGGCGTTTATGCAAAAATAATCATTTTCCCAGTTCTTTCTCTCTCCCAGTGCAGCTTACCAAAGGAAAACATGTAAAAGGGTGGGTGGTATTCACGTGAAATTCACATAGATAAAGTAAGTTCCGTATCGTTTCAATAATAATGGATCTGAGAAGCGATTTTAGCTCTCTCTTCCTCCTCTACTTTTCTTTTTCTTATCTCGCTCGGTCTCCCTATGTTCTTTCTCATATTTGTTCTATGTACTTCAGTGCACTTTTTGCGATGGCCCCTGGTACTATGATTTATGTCCTATTTCGTAAGCTCCATTTCTGCCGGTAAGGCCCGTCGCTACGCCACTTTATTGTTGTGTCTTTTTATCGCACGGCAAACTGTTTAATTTATTTGACAAGCCATAAATTGAAGCCTTGACACACAACAGCAACAAACACACACAAAAAATGGCAAAGAAATGTTGTTTTTCTTGTGGAAAATTCTCCCTGCGCTGAGTTATGTATTTTCCATCATAATTTGTAGGGTTTCTGGTTGTCGCCGATACCGAGGGGCCCACTAACACATTTGCCGCCGCGTTTTGTCTGGGGGATTTTCACTTCTTTTTTTTCGAGCGGTTTCTTTTTGGGGCACGAGTGAAAAATCCGTTGCACGTAATTAACGCAATTAAAATCAAAACATTAATGACCTGCGCTGCTCGGCTGCGTCGCCGGGCGTCGCCGTCGACGGCAACAGCAGCTAGCGTCTCAGCTGGTGGCGCTGCAGCAACCACAGCAGCGGAGGAGCAGCAGCAGCAGCGGCAACAGCAGCCGCCGCCATCGAATTTCTTTCGAGATTCTCTTGTCCTTTTGGCGTGAACAAATGTGTGAAAAATTATGTTAAGTAAATGATTATTGCATACTGAAATTATTGATGGCAAGGCTGCAAAAGGTAGCAAGAAAAAGTATTGCCTACATTTTTGGGCATGGCAAGGGGCTGCGTGGCTGCTCTCTTCGGCTGCCATTTTGTTCTGCCGCTGTCGCTGCCTCTGTCGCTGTCTCTGCCTCAGTCGGCACTCTGCGCAGCTGCAGAGAGTCTCTCTCTCACACTCATTTGCTCTCTCTCATTCGCTTGCTCTCTCTCTCTCTCACTCTCTGTCTGTCTCTCTTCGAGTGGGTGGAAGGAGCAGAACAAAAATGGCAGCGTTGAAATATTTAACGCCGCTAAGTATGCTACGAAAATATTTTCCCGCATTTCGGTTTCTTTTGGTCACAAAAAACTAGATTGGGAGGCGAAAAAGGGGGTAAACAAGAGTGGGGAAAGAATAAAAACCGAGCACAGTGGAGAGAAGAGAGACAGAGGAGACACTGAAATGGCTTTGGTGGAAATTGCATCGCAAAAAGTGGAAATACATAGAAGCCACACAACAAGAGAAGAGGCGTTGCTGCGTGTGACAGTCGCCATGCGACGACAGGAATTTCATGCAGACTCACACACACACACCCATCATGCATGTCGCCATTTAAAGCACTTTAATTGCTTAAAAACTTGAAATAATAATGCCCCACACGAGCGACTGCGACTGGGCCTGGGCGCCTACTTTAAAGCTTAATCCACATCCCACATCCCACACACAGACGCAGACGCAGACGCAGGCACACAGACGCGTCCACTGGGAACGTCCTTTGGCCTGTGGTACGCGCGAACGTGGCATATCCTTTAAAAACTTTTTGCCCGTCGTGTGCAACAAAAAATGAAAGGGTAAACAAAAGCCGTCAAGCGGTGGATGGATGGAGGGAATGTGCTTTGGGGTTTTTGCATTTTGCAGCTGCTTTTGGCTTTAATGCGTTTTCCATCACTCGGCCTTCTCCGACTACTCCTGCCCCACTCACACTTCTTCATTTAATTTGTGTGTTGAATTTTTCGGGAAAACGCAGAGGGAACTGAACGCCATTAAAGCTTTATCTGTGAAGCACACTAGGGGAAAAAGAGGGACTTGTTACGCCAGGATTTTAAATGATTTTGAATGTTCTGGAACTATTTTCGAACTAAATAACACTTTATACGAGTGTTGGTTAATGCATTGTGGAGTGTTATTTCGCTCAAAAAGTTCCAAAGTTGGAGCTAATAACTAGAGTTATTTGAACCATTGGCACCGATTCTTAGCACTTATTTATTATGACGTACTGAACGTACGAGTTCTTGAGCTTAAGATTTCCCATTCCAAGTCTCCCTCCTCTCTCTCTCTCTCTCTCTCTCCGCCACTTTTCTCTGTGTGTGTGTCCTATTTTGCTATGCATGAGACTCGTGTTTTATTTATGCGTTTTGTGTAAATATTTGCAAAGCATTTAGCCTCTGACTTTTGTCTTCAAACTGTGTGTGTGTGTTGCAGGAGTGGCCAAAAATCCAGAAATGTAGCAAATATTTTTTAGGATTACAAAGGAAAACAGCGAAAGAGATGCGGCAGACAGCCCGAGCCCGAGCCCGAGCCCGAGCCCGAGTGAATGATAGGAAAAACTGTGCCAAAAATCAACAATGGGCATATTATCAGCAACAACAAATACACAGAGAGTAAAGGAGAGACAGAAAGAGAGAGAGAGAGAGAGAGAGCGAGAGAAGTGGCAACAATGGCCGGTCCGTTGCTCCTTTTATTCCCACGGTAATTTAAATGGCAAATATTTCTATCGCAAACGATAAACAATTAGTGCAAACAACTGCGTTAGAAATTAAAATATTTGTACAAAAAATGCCATGTTATTGTTATTTTTTGGATGCGGTGCGTGCCTGCCTGCCTGCCTGCCTGCCTGCCTGCCTGCCTGCCTGCCTGCCTGCCTGATGTGTCTGTTGGTGTCTGGTGGTGTGACCAAATTTGTTCCTAAATACACCCAAAAGCATGTGTGTAATTTTGTATTTATGGCCGATTGGAATTGCAGATAGAGTAGCACAGCCCAGCAGAATCCTCTTCAAAGTGCTCTGGCCTAATGAGCAGAGATGAGCCCCAAAGCTGTGCCCGCACAGAATTTATGATCCCCCCTCCCGATTAGCGTCCTGTGAATGGATGGGAAATGGGATGTGTGATGTGTGATGGGATGGTACTTACCGCTCAGTGAATTGTGGCCGCAGGATGGCGCCTTGCCCAGCAGATAATCGTCCTTGCAGATAAACTTATTGTCATCCAAAACGTATAGCTGCTCCCCTGTGCTCAACTGCTTGCGGCATATGCAACATGTAAAGCAATTTAGGTGGAAAACCTTGTCCCGCGGCTTACGCACCAGATCCGATGGCGCAATACCCTGGCCACAGCCACTGCACTTGGTGCCATAGCGTCTGCAAAACAAGAGCCAAAGTAGAATCGGAGTGTTAGGAAATCATATTTAGGTGGGTAAATCATTTGTACTGCCAGCAGAATACATTCCAATTATTCCAACACTGCAATTTCACAGTAACAGTGTTGGAAAGTCCTCAATGGTAATCAGAACTACTATTCCAACACAGAAAACACACACAAAACAAGCATTCCAACACTGAAACTACAACGGAATTATGTTGGACAGAAGTCCAAGTACTGGAATTGCTATTCCAACACTGAAATTCATAGAGAAAGCCCTCGAAGCCTCGAAGTTCTATTGCTTGAACGTTTTTTATTCGAAAATTCCAAACAAAAGATCAATCTATGGAAACCCTTTACCTATTCTAAGTAGTTCCATCTATTGATTGCCAGCTGGCACTGGCAATGACGCCCATACACGTATCGCACGAAGCCTCCACTTTACGTTTATGGAATGCTTTTGTTGGCCCCGCATTCCCAACATAGTATACCGTCCTGTCGCTGATTGATAGCACACCCATCTACACCCTGACACTCTTCGGAATAAAGGAACGAAGGGACACCGAAGGACAGGGAGAGTCTTGTGTGCAGGAATTGATTTCATTTTGATTTGCCCAGGTATTTTGCATGTTAATTGCTTTCGTCCTGGCATTTTTCCCGACTCTACTTCTTCATTTTTTTTCAATTAATAGAACTGAATGCGGAATCCGAAGTGAAATCAAATGAAACCCACGCGCACGGACAGCGCAGCAAAACAAAAGCCAAAGAGTCAAAGCTCCGATTGAAAACTTGGCTCTTAATTGCTTTGATTTTCGTTCAGAGACGACTCCTCGCTTCGGTCAGCGACGTTTGATTGAAAGCTCCTTCCCTTTCGCTCTGAATGGAGCAAATGGGGACTTAGAAGAAGGATTGTGAGAGAATATGTATGAGTATCGTTTATGGAAACTATTTTCCAGTGCATGGAATCTATGGAACTTATGGAGCTGTAGCTGTAGCTGTATTTTCTTACCTGAAGAAATCATTGCGACAGTAGAGCTTCGATTCGCGACTGAAGCATTTGTCGGTGAGCGGTTGGAGGCATTCACAGCATCGCACGCAGGAGGCGTGCCAGGCGCGTTCGAGGACATTTAGCAGGAACTTGTCCAGGATCGGTTTATTGCACCCAGCACAGGGATCGCCCACGCCCACAGGCGGTTCACTGCGACCTACAAAGAACGAAATGGAGAGAGTGAAAAGTTGAGATTAAAGACAGTTCAACAGTTAAGGATTCAACTGTTTAAAGGATGACCATTTCAAGTGGAAGAAATTCCCCCTGCAGAGGGAAGGAAAAGAGAGGAGAGGCGTGTTTGTGTGTGAGATGTGTGCCCTGTCGAAAATCCTTCGAGGCGCAAATTAGCACCTCGCTTTTGGTTGCCTCATTAAGTTTGCACATGTGTGTGTGTGTCTGCCTGTGTGTGTGTGTGTGTCAGAGTGGCAGGTGGTGTGGCAGCGTGGGAGGGTACATCTAAATGAGCAATGAGCAATGCGTGGCCTTGGGACTGGGACTGGGACTGGGGACTGGGGACTGAGACTGGACGGATGGTAAACATTTGAGAATTACAATTTGCACGTTGCATACGCCCTGTGGGGGCATGCACCTTTGCCCCCGCTGCCCGCACAGAGACCGCAATTTCATGCCACATGTGGTAGCCGGCACATTCAATGAGTGTTCAGATGCTCTTGCGAGAGCGTTCTCCTTTCCATCTTTCCATCTTTCCACCTTGTTAGTACTTTTCCTCCTCTGCCACAAGACCCAGAAGGCGTTGCAAGAAGGCGTGGCATATCTATACATATATATATAGAGGATATATAGAGTTTTTTTGCATCGTATGTTAGAGGAGATGTGTGAGCAGAGGCAGCTGGGGCAACTGCAACCGAATAATGATAGAGGCCACAACCCAAAATGGAGTGCCCTCGGGGCCTGAGACTGAAACTTGAGAAGCAGCAACCGCCAGCAGGCAGCAGGCAGCAGGCAGAAGGTTCCTCCTTTTGCAGTCAATCAGTCAATGGAGTTGTGGCATGAAACAAAACAAAAAAAAAAAAAGCAGAAAAAAAAACAAGAACAAAACTTTTGTCTTCGCTTCTTCGGTTTCGTTCGTTTTGGGGCAGGTGCAGGTGGGGGGCGGCTGTTGCATGGTTCCTCTTTTTTCGGGGGCGTGTCTCAGGTACAAAATATAAATACCATAAAAAGAAGGAGAAGCAGCAGAAACACACAAAAGGAGGAGGTGAAGGTGAGGGTGCAGAGGCCGGAGGATGTTCGAAATAAAAAGTAAACTTTTGTGTGTGAAAATTTATTTTCATTCAAAAAGTTTCTGTGCACATTTTTGTGGCATGTGGTGGGGCGGTTGTAGGTGAGAAGGTAGAGAAGGTAGAGAAGTGGAGGAGGAAGCAGGAGGAGGAGGATTAATGGGTCTAAGGACCAGTTGGAGCAGCAGGAAGAACGAGGATTGTATGAGAAACGAGGTGTGGATGAAGAATGGGATGCGATAAGCAGTAAAAGAATAGAATAGCAGAAGGAGGAAGGATCATATCTCTTCTTGCTCAACCTCCTGTCATACATATATCCTTTCTGCTGCGCCTGCTGTTATACAGTGACCCACATTAATAATGGCACAAATTCCTCCCCTAACTACTGGCTCCCGACGGACAGTAGCTGCAGCCCCAAGCGAGTCCCCATCGAACGAACAAACGAATGAATGAATAAACCGCGCCAGAAAGGCCGCAGAGTGGGGCAGTGCTTCTTGCAGACTATAAATGAGCAACTGACACACTGATTGATTGACGAATTGACTCATTTTCGCTAACAGAAAGGCCGAAAAATAAAACCAGAAAACTGCAAGGAATTATAACGAATGAACATCCTCCACACTGAGAGGCCACACTGAGGAACCAGCGACAGCAACAGCAAAAGCAGACACCCAACAAGAGGCAGCGGGGCGGCGGAGGCAGCATCATCGCAAGTGGCAAAGTTGCAAGTCCCGAGTGAAGACCCAGCCTCTGCCTCTGCCTCTGCCTCTGCCTCTGCCGCATATGTCAAAATTGACGGATGTTATCAATCATTTCATGCCGCTGCAGACAATTTTTAATGAAGGTTATAGACGTTTATAGACGGAACGGAACCGAATCGCAGGGAGTGTTGCCAGTCGCCAGTCGCCAGTTGCCAGTTGCCAGGGGAAGGAGACGACTGACTGACTGACTGACTGACTGACTGACTGACTTCTTCTCTCTGCCTCAGAGTCTGCCTTTGGTTTGGGGTCTGGGGGTCTGGATCTGAGTCTGAGTCTGTCTCTGGGACTGAAGCTCAATGAACTGCACAACACAACAAGCAAAAGCATTTTCAAGTCGGGTTAAACGTGGTTCGTGTTTCTGTTTACTCCTTATGATGTTTCTGCTGCCGTTGGTGTAACATATCCCTGATTGATTGTTGATGTTGTTCATATTTTTCGAGTATCCATTGACACTTTATGCTTTTGTTAGCATTTCGATGTAGTAGTTTGTGGTAGTAGTTTTTCTTACACTGTTGTTGAAATTGTCAGTATCTTTGGGGAAGCTTCTGTACTTTTGGTAGTTGTTTGCAATGTTTTAATGGCTTCATTTTGTACGTAATGCGACTGGAGTTTGTTTGTGGCAGGCGTTTAATCAATCTTTGGGAAACCTCAGGGCAAGAGCATCTCCCATTCGGAGTCTCCAACGCTGTGCCCGCTGGGCCCATCAGCGATTACTGATGCTGATGCTGATGCTGATGCGGCTGTTGCGGCTGCTGTGGTCATGGCTCCTGTGGCAGCTTCTTCTCCGTTTCCTCGACTGTTTTTCGGGACTTTGCTGAGGAGCTCTTCGCTTCGCGGTGGGACCTTCGTGGACTTCATTTTTGTGCCTTCTGGCGCGTTTTTAAAAAGCGACAAATTGTTGTTTGCAGACGCCGACAACGTTGTTGCTGCTGCTGATGTGGCGGTTGTTGTTGGTGCTGCTGCCGCTGCCGCTTAAGTGTCGCAATTTAAATATTGTTGAGTGCACTTTTGGCTACCGTTGGCCATTTATTTTGCGCTGAAATTTATGTAACGATGTGAAAAATTGCCCGACTACTGGAACGAACTGAAGCCAAGCCAAGCCAAGCCAGGCTAAGGCTCTAGGCAACCGCTCTCTGACCCCCTCTCTCTCTCTCTCTCTGTATCACTCTGTGTTTGTGCTTTCTGTGTCGCTGTTGCAGTTTTCCCCTGGATCTGTGGTGGCAGCCATTGACCGCGCGAGTGGAAGCTGCGAGGCCGGAGAAAAGTGCAAAGTTGCAACCGAGGCACGTACAAAGCATTTTGCACAACATTTTCCGCGCTCTCAGCCTCTCGCTCTCGGACAAAGCGAAATAATTGTGTTCCACAGAGCACAGAGCACAGAGCACTGAGAGCTCGTCTGGACAATCCATGGACTAACTGCATTTATAATGCAGCCAGCAGCCAGCAGCCAGCAGCCAGAAACGAGCAACCAGCAGAAGCAGCTTCTTCATGGCTCGATGGGCTGGTCCCCGGGCAACACCCCAAAGACCTGCCCCACAAAAAGTAGAGAAAAAAAAAACAAGAAGAAATATAACAAATGAACTGAAACTCTGTTCTGCAAGCAGCCGGACCAGCAGCAGTGTACAGTGTACAGTGTACAGTGAGGCCAGGCAGCTGGTGGACAAGCACAAAGTCTTGGCGATTATTTAGTTGCAGCAGGGAGAGGGCAAGGCAACACTTGCATCTTTCATCTCGAGCTCTGTCTGTGCAACAGAAGCAAGCTGCTTTGGGGCAGGGGCAAACTTTTGACCATTGTCGTTCCGTCTGTGGCAGAAACTGTGAAAAATTCGTTCGACATCGTACACGCCACAAAAAACAGAGGAAGAAAAAAGAAAAAAGAACTACAGCAACATCAACAAAAATAAAGAGAAGCGAACAGAAAAATGGGAAATAATAAAAACTGAGCTTCGAACCAAAGCACTTGCTGCTGCGCCATGTTGGTTACGCCTCCCCCTCCCCCTCCCCCTCCCATCCCGCCTCTTGGGGCACGCCCCTGAACTCAAAACGTGACTAAAATGTTAAAGCCACAAAGAAAAAGAAAAGCAGCAGCGGCAGCCAGGAACCCGCAACCAGCAACCAGCAACCAGAAACCAGCAACCGCCGCGCAATCATTTTTTTGTTTTTTTTTTCTTTCCAGCTTCTGGCTGGCTGACTGGCTGACTGGCTGTTTCTTCCTTTTCTTCTTGCAGGCTTTTCCTCTATTTTCCTGCTGCTCCTTTTTTTCTTGTGGCAAATCTTATGCAAAACTCCAAATGGTAATGCAGTAGGAAAAAGCCAAACAAATGGCTACATAAAAAAAAAACAACCTAAGAAAAACTTATGGGCCACAGAAGGAAAACTTTTTTGCCAGGCAGACCGAAAAGGGATTAAAGTGGAAAATGTAAAGAAAATCCCCACATCCTAGAGGGAAAAACTAACATCAAAACAGAAACATATATCTAGGGATATCTCCCAGAGAGAATTGTTGTTGCTCCCAATTTAAGTTAATTTTTTCTTCCCGAATGTACTTTAAAATGAGCCAAAACATTTCCCACTTCCCATATTTCCCTTCTTTCTGTGTCGACAGCCTCATTCATGTTTCTTTTTTTTTCTCTTCTTCTGTTACTCCTTTTTAATTTAAATTTTGTTTCGTTTTTTCAACTAATTTGTGTAATTAATTTGTTAACAAGTTTTGAGCGCAAGCAAAACCAGAAATAGGTGTTAAAGTTTATATTAAATATTTCAAGCAGATCGCCGACAACGACAGGCGTTGAACTTTGGCCTCACAGACGACCGAAAACGTTTTCCATTCTGTATGGCAGGCCACAGTGGAGGGGCAGGTTCAGGGCAGACCGAGAGTTCCGTGGAGTTCTCCTCAGAGCCACCGCTGGCTTCTGGCGTCTGGCGTCTGCCTCTTCTGGTTGGGGAAATGCAATCAAAATTGTCAAATCAGGCGCAACGAATTGCATTAAAAATAGTAACCAACTATTTCTGGAGTGAAGCATCAAAAACATAAAGGGGAGAGTGGAGAAAAGAGGTCGCAAGGGGAGAGCAGAGTGGGAGAGATGGAGAGGAAATATAAATGAAAAAAAAAACAACTTTAAAAGTTTAAAACTAAACAAAATCTCCATAAAACATTC